TCTGTCTATGTGCCCGTTCGCCCATCTATTCAACACTCCAAGTACCACCATCTCGCATCTTTTCATCATATATTCCCCATATAGAAGCACCGCCATCCAGCGGACATTCCAAGGACTAAACGAGAGGTGGCACACGCACACTTTCTTACGGCTTGCGCTTTGTCTCTATTTCCCACCTTTAACCACCTCAAGTTCATGGTACATACTAGTTCACTGTATTCATGGCACTGCGGCCGAACGCTCGCTAAACCTTTCGAAAACCAAGGAGGTTACGCCCAGCGAGTATGACGTAGCAAACTTTTTCAGCCAGATAGTGCTCAATGTACATGCCAATGGCTGCTAATGGGAAATGAGAGGCGGAGTATTCGGCTTTTACTTTCTTACGGCTTGCGCTTCGTATCTACTTCCCATTTTTAACCACCTCGAGTTCATTCATGGTATATACAAGTTCATTGTATTAATGGCTCTGCGGCTCAACGCTCGCTAAACCTTTCTAAAGCTAAGGAGGTTACACCCAGCGAGTATAACGTAGCAACCCTTTCTTGTCAGATCGTGCTCAATGTACATGCCAATGGCTGCTAATGGTGATCGCAGCGTGCGCGTTTACTAAAAGCCGAATGCTCCTGTCTCTCATTCCCCCATAGCAGCCATTGACATGTACATTGAGCACTATTTTTTATTGTTAAACAACGCACAGAAGAAGTCTCTCACCGGCACCACCTTGGAGGTCAAAATGTTACACTTGTTACATACTACGGGGAACGAACGGGTGCCGCTATAAGGAGTTTCGCCCCTAAAAAATATCAAAACTTCCTGTGTAGCAAAGGTGACGAAGATGGTAATTAATTCCACTCTGTGATTGTTTGAGGGAAGAATGAATATTTATATAATTTAGTTTTTTTTAATACAGGTTTGATGCAATCGCTGTGCTTATGACGTGAGGTTCAACGTATGTGTTTCTGAAAGTAATCGTCAGAGTTTATTCCGAGCTTATTAAAATAACCCGAAGATAAGAAATTCAAGTGTGCCTGTTTTCTTCTCTCAGATAGTGGCTTTGATTCGGTCATCTGTAGCATATCTGATGGTGAATCGAGGCGTCTGAAACGTTTGTAAACGTACCGGACCGCTAACTTTTGAATTTTTTCGAGTTTTTCTATGTTGACTTGGGTATAGGGATCCCAAACAGCATTGCCGTATTACAAAGAGGGTCTCATTGTTTTGTAGGTCATCAACCTAAGAGAAGGAAATGATTCGCCCACCTTGTGTTTCAGGAGGCCTAATTTTCTTGCGGGCTCTAGAGCATATACCATTTATATGGGTTGACCGGTTAAGACCGGAAGTTAACATGATTTCTAAATATTTGCACGCCAAAACTTCTTCGAGGGAGTTATGTTGTATACAGTAGGTAAAATAAAGTTTGTTCAATTTGATAGTGATGCTCATGTGCACAGTTTTCTGAAGGTTGATTACCATTTCCCATTTGTTGCACGATTCTGCCAATTTATTGAAAGTGCTTTGCGAGGTGATTTGGTCATTTGCGGAATTTACAGGTGTAATATGACGCAGTCATCTGCAAATAATTTCAAATGAACAGACTGATCCGCTACGTGTTGAATGTCATTGATATAGATTTTAAAAAGGAGTGGGCCCAGGACGGACCCTTGCGTAATTCCTGAGTGTACATCTAAAAATCGTGAACTGGGTCCTTGTATGTATGTCTACGTATTCTGTTTCTATTGGTAAGGTATGATTAACCCAGTGAACAACGCGCTAGGGTGATCCAATTGCTCTCATTTTTTATTATTAACTTTGAATGAACCACTCTGTCAAACGCCTTGGAAAAGTCTAAAATTATTAAATAAATCTGACCGCCTTTGTTAAGGAGCTTAGTAAATTCATAAAATGTTGTGAATAATTGAGTTACTGTGGAATATCCATGCCTGAAACCGTGTTGTGTCTCAGTTATTACGTGGTTTTGCGCTAAAAAATCATTTATGTATTTTGCTCATATATGCTCAAGCATCTTACACGAACACGAAGTCAGGGAGATAGGACTTCAGTTATCTATCTGTAATGAAGAAACCTTTTTTTTTTTTAAACTGGAATCACTTTAGCGACAAGCCAGTCGTCAGGTAACGTGGCCGTATCGATAGACAACTGAAAAATTATTGCTAAAAGAGGAGCGACTTGTACTACATACATTTTAAGGAACACGTTTTAAATGTTATCCGGTCCTGTAGATTTCTTAATGTCTACGTGCAGGAGAAGCTCAGTTACACCTTCAGTAGATATACTAAGGGCGTTGTTTTCGTTATCCTGGAATTCTTCGGAAAGCGACGGTGTCATCGAAGAGCGCGGCTTCGTAAAAACGCTTGTAAAAAAACAAGTTGAATGACTCGGCTATTTCTCTTTTGACGGTAAGAACACTTCCATTTACAGAAATTTCATCTATATTGCGAGAATCCTTTTGGGATAAAAACTGCCGAAATTTTGCGAGATTTTCAGTCACAAAACGACCGAGCTTAACAGTGAAGTAGCGCTCTCTAGATTTTGGTAGCTTCAGCTTTAGATCGAGAGCCAAATTGCACATAACAGTCCTACCATATTTTTGTTTTATAACGCTTTATTCTGCGTTTTAATTGAATAATTTCTCTAGTTATCCATGGTTTATCTCGACCGATCCTTTTCATTTTATCTGGAACAAGGACACCAATGCAGTGTTGACAGTATGTTTTAAATTTAGGCCATAATGTGTTGATGATCGTAGTTTTTAACTTTTACCGCTTTAGGACTACACGAAGGAGAATCGCGTGGAAGAACAATAGTGAAATAGACTAATTTATGGTCTAAAATCCCGTCATGTACTTCAGTTGAGCACTCGCCAAGGCCAGGAAAGCACAGAACTAGGTCCAAGACTGAAGATGATGTAGGGGTTACACGAGTAGGAAGCAGGACGGTTTGACATAGGTTGTACGCCAGCATCATGTCCAATAAGGTTTCAGACCTAGTCGCATCAGTTGGGCCACACCTTAGCGAACGCCACTCAATACTAGGGAGAATAAAATCTCCTGCTGTAATTAGCTTCTGATTCCGGTATCTGTCCAGGTGATCGTCCAGACCTAACTATAAATTGAGATTAGCGCCAGGTGGCCTGTATGGCCCCGCAACTACGAGCTGATTGCCTGATAAGTTAACTTTACAAAAAACGCTTTCATGGTCTGAGTTAATGGGATGTAATGGTACTGAAAGCGACGTGCTTTTTACAAGGATTGCTACGCCCCCTCCCCATGTAGCATGGTCTTTATGATAACACGTGCACGAAGGCGACAAAATGAGGTGATCTGGAAGACCAGGGTGATGGCAGGTTTCCAAGATAACAGTGACATGAAGATCATATGTGAGCAATGCTTGCTCTAACTGTTTTTTTTATTACACAGGCTTTGAGCATTAAAACAGAGCAGGCTCCTTCTCCTTTTCGCCTCATTCGTACTTGGCGTTTACATAGTCTCCTACATACTATGCGAGTTCTTGTTTTCTGCTGTTTTTGGCGGACAGGTGTGTCTCTGTTGCTTGTTACCTTGGATGATGTAGCATCATCGGCATCAGTCTAAAGGTGAGACTCCAGATGACTCTCTAAAGAGCAACAGAATGAATAGACAGCCCGAAACAGCAATGGTAGACAATCCACAGGCTCGTATGTTTGACAAGGCACGTGATTCTTGGTGGTCCATTTTGATCGATAGCAGTCGCGCACAAGAGAAACGTATGGACAGTATAAGGCATGGGGGCAATTGTCATCAGCGCATTCGCAACATTAACCTTTTAGCGGCTGATTTCTTCTATTTGTTGTTAGTTTCCCCATACGAGTGTTATTTTCTAAGGGGCCTCATTCTCCTTCTTGATGATGTAAGCTTCAATCAAATCTATCTTTTTCCTGTTCCTCTTGTCTCTCCCTTTCATCTTTCTATTCCTTTTCCACAATTTTCTGTCTAGCCAATAAGAAGTTGATTTTTTTTGTTCACCTCCTTACCTTACTGTTTCCCCCATTTCTTCGATTCCTTCTGTCAGTTGAGCGATTTCTCAAAATTTTCACGTTCCCGCCAAATTGCCTTTTCAACCTTACCGCTCCGGTTCCGTCCCCGGGTGCGCAGTACCGCGAAGCACCACCAGGTAGCGCTGGCGGGCTGTGACATCATCAACTGATCGACGCGCGCGAGGTCCAGACCAGCGTGCCGTCGCCATGGCTACGGGCTCTAGCGGCACGGGCAACTCACCCGGGCGCTAGGCGCAGTACTTCAGCGTAGTAGTGGATGGGAAAAAAAAGTAGAGGGGGTAGCGCGGAGCACAAAAAAAATCTCTGTAGGGAAAGTGCGTGAGCGAGAGTGCGTGCTGGAGGAGGGGGGACACGGGGGAAGGGAGGGTCCTAGTCGGTGTTGGCGGTCGGCGGGTTTGCGCTCTCAGTTCGATGTCTGCCGGCGCGGACCCAGCCGTAGCAGTACCGCGGAGCAGCGGTCGTGTTCGATGCCGTCGCAGGAGCAGTGCTACGTAGCCCGGTGCAGTCAACCACTGCGGCGACGGCGGCGACATGGGTTGCAGACGGCGACATGGCCGCGCCGTCGTCTGTTCCATGTCTGCTTCTAGCCGGCAGTGCAGACGAAGACGTCTGCAAGTTCACGACAGTGCATCAGCGACGTTGACAGCAGAGTCCATCAAGGAGTAGACAATGGTTACTACGTACGCTTCGTCGCCTTGGGCGACGAAGTCAACCCGTACCAGAACCGCGACGGCGTCGGCGGTGGTCCTCCTGGACGACGTGCAGTTCTTGTGTCGCCTGCGGTGACAAAAGCGTCTGCTTTTCGGTTTGGAATCGTCTGCTTCGAGGAAGGAATTGTCGTCTGCTCGCTGCTGGCCGCGGCGTCTTATACTTTTTTTCGGGTTGTCATTGTCCCTTTGCCTGAACGGCGGCCCCAGGAAGGGCTGCGCCTCGTCGGCCCGGCGGCATGCCGGGGGGACGAAGGGGCCTGGTGGCCCCGCAAAACACATTCCTCGAGAACATCGTGCGGCGCTACAATTCCCTACGTGAGTACACCGCAACTCGTCGCATGCTTAAACTCTGTACTTCGTATTTGTGAGCGATATGCAACTCACTACGCAAGTGTTTGTACGTGCACTCATCGTGTGCTAACCTGTACTCGTAGTAGATGCCAACGAGATGCTGTCGTCTTCAGAGACGTCAAAGATACTATCGTTTCTTTTAAAGAGACTGACAACGTCAACACAAAATGATATTATACAGAGTCTGCGAAGTGATTTTAGAGTCTTCTGCAACGAAACCAGACACGGCCCTTGCATAAAATCGACCTTCGGAGAAGAGAATAAAGACGCTATTGTTTACCAATTGTTTGAAAACAATATCACTGCAGATAAATCAAGAACAATTTTGTCTGCAAGTAACGCGACAAACACAGTGCGTCAATAAGACACATGAAAGTATACAACGATTCTAAGTTCGCAGTGGTGGCTGTAAGTGATGCTTGTGATTCGATCCCTTAACGAGTCAGTATTAGCAGAAGGTCATCGCCGCTGACCTTTCAGTGCTATTCAAAATACAGCTTGATATAACATTTTCGAGATACGATTTTTTAAATTAAATGTTCCAAGGGTGTATTTATATTCATAGGGTTCCTGGGCGTGCTTCGCAAAGGTCGACCAGGACTTTTATTTTTATTTTTAGCACATTGTTCGCTCGCAGACAACTCGCGACAGACCAATAAAAAAGATGTTCTTCCCCATGAGCGCATCACCACTTTATATTCGAGCCTTGTTCTGCTTTTTTGTTTCCTTACTATAGCCTGCGACTTTTTTCTGGCGCTCTTGCTGCATTAATGATTCACATTTATTTTCCGTTGTTGCGCACCTGGGTAAAGGTCAACTATACGGCGCGACGTCGGAGCGAACTTGAAGGGCGGAGTTTTTTTTTTTTTTTCTTCTTCGCTGAAGCTCATGGCTAATTATAGTCTTGATGCAAATTTTTTTTCTGCTGACTTCGTGTCAGAATAACTGTAGACCTAAAACAATTCCAGTAGAAGCCGATACAAATTCAATGGTGTGATTAGCATTCGAATTCAGTCGCATGTTTAGAAATGCACTTTCACGAAGCATTTTTAAAATTGTGGTCGGGCTGACAAGAATTTCATGATGTACTTTGTAAAATTTAAATAGGCGAAGCTACACAATGCACTTTCTGCGTAAAGTTCAGTTCGTGGAAGATAGATAAAATAAAAAATTAGGATTCGATTACGTTGTTTCTTTTCCTAGTTTTTCATCATAAATGGCTGACCAGTTCAAAAAAATCGTATCGGTAATAGTTTTCAAGCGGTCGTGGCCAATTAATAAACTTAACCGCTTTAATCCTTTTAACCATTTCATGGCCAGTAGCATTATTAGCCACAATGGAGACTTCATTCATAGAGATTTCGTTTTCTCGTGAATACGTCTTTCGACGCTCCGACATTCATAAGCTACAATTATAGACAGAGTGGAATTAACCGAGACACTTTACGTCAGTTTGGTCATGTATGGTGTACGCAGTGCAGTAATGATGAACGATGAGTAGGCCACTCTAAATATTTGAACATATTTGAATAGACTTGTAGATTCTGAGACTTAAAATCAGTTAGTGTGAACAAAAAAGAGAAAATCTTCGTCACGCCCGAAAGCCTTCTCATTGTGGACGTTCTGTAAACATTATGTACGTCATTGTGACAAACAAGTGCACATTATTAGTTACATAAAACAAGACTGCATCTTTTGTTGAGGCCAGTTGAGACCCATGCTGCAGGTAGTTATCTTTAAAATAGCAAAAATTATTGGTTTTAAGTGTGACACACATATATTATATATGAATGTCAAGCTGAAAACAGCAAGTCACATCTCTACCGAAAAATGTCATAGAACACATATTCAAGTTAGTACGATCATACCAAAACAGATGTGTGTTCAGACGATATTATTGAATAGGCGGCATCTGTGTCACATGAAGTTTTTCGCTAGGGATACGCCTAAAATACACACAAAATTTGAAACAGCACCCCTTGTATATAGCTTGTTTCTATTTAAATATCTCGTACGCCCCTTCCCCTTTCCAGAAAACGCACGTACGTACAGCTTTCTTTCAATAATGCTTGAAGTGAATGAAATAACCTGAACGATTCAATATTAGAAGCCTGTGATAACGGTGCCCTGATTTAGATCTAAAATTTTTCGCCGGTGCTTGAGCAGAAACGGATTATATCGTTCCATATTAACGACGCAAGTACAAAATCAATGCTTTTGTTGTTTTCACTATGCACGCTCGAGACGCACGACGATATTTCCGAGAAATTAGACAAAACAGGAAGTCGTACCTGTATACGCACCTGCTGTATACCGATTTGTGGACGAGAAGAAATCTCGGGATGTTTTTTTTTTTTTCTGCTCTCAGGGAGGTGACAACCGGAATTCGATTTTTTTCCTCCTCTGAACATATCCGTTGTGTTTCGTTTCTCTCGTTTCTTGCCACTTGTTTATGACGTGCACTCTCGCAGGACATGTACTCGGACTCATTGATTAACACAATGATGGCCAGCCGATTTGTTGTTGCTTCGGCTTTTCGCGCGCACACGAGGGAACAAGACACGCAATCGCGGTCACGACACCTTTGAGTGGCAATGCACATCTCGTCGTCGACACGATTCACGGCCCCAGTCGATCGACGAGCGTTCCGTAGTCGCTCGTGGAGGGAACAGCGCCTATACGCTAGCCCTACGAAGTGTGGGTGTAGAGGAGGTCTCAAAAAGGACCTCGTCTGCCAGTATATTATCTCGTACACACAGCAACCGACGTAAGTGGATACCACTTACAATAGAAACGTCACACCAACTTGCTTACTAGTTCGCACTGACAACACAGCTGGATTAGTACTATGGTGTAGTGGTGTACAAGAGGTCTTGAAAAAGACCTTGTCTGGAGGTACAAAATTCTAGAACACTGCAACCGACGTAGGTGGAAATCATTTCTTGTAACAAGTTATTTCAGCATGTATATTTGCTCACGCACTGAGCACAGCTACACTAGCGCTACAGTGTAGGAAGGAAGGAAGGAAAATAGAGGGAAAAGAAAGGCAAGGAGGTTAACCAGCCTATAGGCAGCCGGTTTGCTACCCTGTGCATGGGAGAGAGATGGGGGAGATGAAGGAGAGCATAAAGGGAAGAGAGAAACAGCACATTCGGCAGCACACGCGCGCACACTCAGTCATAGTCCAGTCTTGTCTTTCGCGGTGTGTGACACCACGAAACAGTCGCTCGTTCAAGTCGGTGTCGCGTAGGAATTTCAACAGAGCTTTCATCGCCTTCTATTGCAATGTCTTCTCTCGGGCACTTGACAGAATAGTGTCCACAGACATTTATTTGGCTGTTGTCGATGCGCGCAAAAGCGGACGCCAGTGACTGTCTCTGGATTTCATACAACGGACAGTCACACAGGATGTGGTGTAGCGTCTCTTCGCAATGACAGGCATCGCAGAGAGCGTTGTCGGCCATTCCTATGACAAAGGAGTAAGATTTTGTAAATGCCACTCCTAGCCATAAGCGATGAAGAAGGGTGGCTTCTCTTTGGTCGAGTCCAGTGGGCATGCGGAGAGCCATCAAAGAGGACAGGCGGTGTTGACGATTCGTATCGATGCTTGGTGGGCACCATAGTGAAAACATGATTTCGCGCGCAAGTCGTCGAAGATTACTGGCAGCATCGGTCCTCGAAAGTGGTATGGCTTCTTCTCGTGTTCCTTCAAGGGCTGCCCGAGCGGCAGTATCGGCATGTTCGTTCCCTATGATGCCGCAGTGACTTGGCAGCCATTGAAGCGTCACATGATGCCCTTTCTCGTGTGAAGTGTGGAGCAGGCATCGAATTTCGAAAAGAAGCTGTTCGTATATGGCCCGCGACGCAGTGCCGAGAGCACAGAGCGCTACAGTGTAGTGATAGCAGCTGCATCTGAGCTGTAGTGTAGGGGATGTAAAAGTGTTCTAAAAAAAGACGCCGTGAAGCGGTACATGGTCACACTACAGCCGATTGGGCAGACACCGTCTTCAGAATGTAAGATACAATGATTACAACAACGTTTAAACCATTGCGGTGCAGTATCAAACAAGGGTGAGTTTTTACAACGAAGGGTTGCTTGCAAGAATGCTGAATAATGAAAGACATGGATCAACTGGTCCCCTTTTGCGGGTTGTTCAATCTAACACGAGAGAGCATTAGTGCCCGACCTCCACATACATCAAGGATTGTGTCATATGAGCAGGACGTATTTCTGGGGTCCGCATTCTAGCACTGCGTTCGCATTTATGCAACGACAGAGCTCCTGAACGTCTTTAGAAAAAAAAAGTGGTTTTATTGACAGAGTACTGTCTGTTTATTGTTGTGGTTAGTGCAAGTTCTGCATGCGTGGGCAATGTGTGGTACACCCTAGCAGCACATGCGTAGCATGTGCTTTTAGGTTATATCACATATTGCCTGTCCGGAGTCAAATCAATCAATCAATCAATCAAACATATTTTTCTTACTTGTACATGCAAGGTTGTTTACAGCGATTAGACTATGCAGGTGAGTGTCTCAAAGTACGTCAATACAACGAGATACTAGGCGTAATCATGGGCGTACCACAAGGCAAACCTCCCGTGCACTGCCTAAAGAACCTCCTCTGTCTCTAGGACCCCATTTCTGATTATTTATTTTTGTATCTAATTATTTGAATATTTGTTTAGTTCGTCGATTATTTAGTCCCGAAGATAGATAAGTTATTTAGACGCTGGGGCTCTAGGCACTGAATTACTGAGACGATTATGAGGGACTTCGTAAAACGGTGTCCCGCGTTAGTTTTGACCGCTTTGGGCTTTCATTAACAGCAACGTGAGCCCACGTGTACTGGCGGGTATAAATTGGCAGCAGCAAGCACAGGAAAGGGTTAACTGGCGGAACAGGGGAGAGGCCTTTGTCCTGCAGTGGACGTAGTCAGGCTGCTGCTGCTACTGCTGCTGCTGCTG